CATGGCACGGAAAAGGTTAAGAACCTCTGGCTGGTGAAGTAAGGGCATGAGCACTGTAGCCAGGAAAACTTGGATTCAAATCCAGGCTCTGCCAATTCCTACTTTTCTTTTGAGCAAAATGATTTAAATTCTCTGAGCCTTGAATTTCCCCATCTTCACTGAGGGAGCCAACACAGAAACAATACCTACCTCCTGAAACCATCCATTCATCAAAACCTTAACTAAAAACCTGCTTACTGTGTGCCAGGCACAGGGCTGAGTTCTGGGGCTATAGTCATGAACATCACAGAGCGGGCCCTTCAGTACTTTATACAGAAGGTAATGCCTTGTAGAGTGTTCAGCAGGGACTGAAGCATTCTATAGACACTATAGTACTGCGGCTAAACCCACAACATTCAGTGCTTAATTATATGCTGATTCACGTTGCCTCATGTAACAATTGTTGGTTCATCTAACTAGTGCTCTCCCAAGTTTCTCAAATGCTAAGGGCTGGGTGTCCTGCTCACAGAGGGAACAGTGTGTTAGATGGAAGAACACAGGATTTGGAACCAAATGATCCTGGCTTCAAAACCCTGCTCAGCCACTTACAAGCTCTGTGACTATAGCAGAGACTAGTAGCTGTCCCCCAAAATATGTTCTCTCCTTCCTAAACCGTAATAGAATATCTAGATTTGAGTTGGGCACATGGACACTCAGAATTAAGGATAATATTTCCCACCCTCCCTTAGAAGCAAAGTACGATCATGTAATCAAGTCCTAGCCAATGGGGATATAAGCAGAAGTGGCGTGTACAACTTCCAAGAAGTGTCCTTAAAATTAAGATGGCTTGCCCTTTTCCTAGCACAGCCACCTGATACATGAGATGACCTTGGGAATGGAGGCAGGCACATGGAACAAGATAGAAGGAGCCTGGGTCCCTACCATTGTGCACCATTTCTAGCTGGTACAGTAATCCACCTCCAGCAAGTTCCTTAATCTCTCTGGACCTCCATATCCCTACCTGAGAAAAGGTGATCATATGAGGTATTTACCCAGCAAGGTTGTTTTGAGGACATCATGAGATAGGCCTTGGTTCACAGCAAGGGCTAGAGTTAGGAGAGGTGATATTACTACTCTCCTTCTCTTGCTACAGTGAAAAATGCTGGAAACTGAGACATCTTAACACTGCCCTGGGTGCCCAGAGGTGGCTCCATGACCGCACAGTTGGAAGGCACCCCAATCACTCTAGTCCTCCGGAGAAGAATTCCCTTCTCTGGCACCCTTGTCAAAAGGCCCCCAGGAAAGGGAAGGGCACTCTCTCTGGGACAACTGTTGGGACAGGGGTGTTTGTTCATCCATAAATCACTATCCTCAGCTATCCCTTCAGAATCCTAACCCACCTCCCTTCTCTCCTCTGCCTATTCCTCCTCTCTGCCTTTGGCCGCCTCTGTCCTGCCTCTGGGCGCACTCCCACCAGGACATCAAAGATCCTTTCTTTCTCCTTTGGAAGCTCCCTCTGTCCCCTCCCCTCGGAAGGCTTCCCAAACTAACTGGGAAGTGGGTGATCGCTGCCTGAGTCCCATCCTACTCAAACAGAGGCTTCCCACTTTCCATATGAAATTCTCTCCCACTGGGGAGCACATAGGATCATCGGCCACCAAGAGGTTCCCCTGCAGGGATCCAGAGAGGTCCCAGTCTCCTCCATGCTTTGCTGCTGACACTCGTAAAGCTATTTCGTCTTGTTTGCAGCATCAGCACTGATCTGGGAGGCATAGCTCTTCACGGCGATGCAAAATCGAAATTTGCTTTATGTGCCTAAAGCCCATATTCATCTTTCCTGATGGTTCCCTTCCTGCTCCACAGACACAAATCCTAGTCTGTCTCTCCCACATAGTTGTCACGGCCCATGTCACTGTCACCCATGCAGGCTGCTCACAGGCACAGCCACAACCACCTCTCCTCTCCCAATTCCCTTTTTCATACTCATACCATTCACACCAGCCCCTGCTCACGCTCTCTCTCTCGCCCTCTCTCTCTCATCTTCTGCCCTGTGGCTCCACCCATTCTCAGTGATGGAACTTTACTGTCATCCTCATGGTCCAACCAGGTCCAGGCTTTAGGACTGGAACAAGGGTGACTGTGCAAGCCAATGGCTCCCCAGCTGGGTGGGAGACCCAGAGCTGAAACAGGAAGAAACAAGACAGTGGTCAGGAGGGCAGGAATCGGTGCCCAGACAGGGAGAAGAGGGGGAACCTGACCCCAGACATGGCAAAGGACGGGAGCAGGAAGCACAGGCCTGCTGATGTCCAAGGAGTCACAGGCATCTCAGAGACTCACCCTGCATCCCTCTTCCCTTCACACACGGTCACAGGGGTTTCTAACTCAAATTGCAGTTTCTGGGGGCTGGCTGCCCCCTGGGCCAGTCTCACTTTGCAGAGCTCTCAGCCTTATCCTACAGTAGCCTTTCACACACACAAAATTTTACTCCAGGGGTGTGACTCACATGGGCATAAAACCTTGGGATCCTTTGCTGTTTTAAATTCACATTACACATTAATTTGCATTACAGCAAGAATGCTGCCCTATGAATCACGTACCAGACTGCGAGCAGGAAATAAGACCCCAACATGGGTTTTGTCCCCTCCCCAAATACCTTCTGTTCTCCAAGGTTAACCAAGTAGTACCAAGGCCCCCTCCCCGCCATGCTGTGAGTCACTGATGGATGAGAAAAGAGGGGATGTCACCAGCGGGGCTCAAAAAACCAGGCAGAGATTAACATTATGTCCACAGTTCCAAACCTTCCCACTCTCACGTCTGGTCTCATGCCACCGTTCCCCTTCAAGGCCACCTTGAGGCCCATTGTCCTCCGCGGCACCTGTTCATACACAAGGCTGGGAGTGACAGGAAAGATAACAGAGCCAGGTACCAGGGCCCAAGCTTCTACTCCAGAGAGGCCCAGCAGAGGGACCAGCCAGCCGCAGCCTTACATTTCTTGAGCAGCCAAAAGAAACAAAAGGCATAAATTTCCTTGTTTTCCCATTGGCGGTTCCCTCTGCCCTGGGCCCCACCCCACCACTCAGCCCTCTTTCCCGCTGCCTTAGCCATACAACCCGCCCACCCCACGCCCAAACCTCCCAGAGGACTTTCCTTGTTTGTCCTCTTGAATCCACATGAATCACTAATTACTGATTTAAACCCTGGCACTGAGTGAATGACAAATACAGTATGACAAACAGCAATACAATATTTAGGACTGGCGAACAGAGCGCCTCCTCCCTGCCCGAGTCTGCCTGAGCACACAGGAGACACAGACACTGTCTCCTAACCCACACCTGGGCCGAGGGCTGACTAAACTTGCCGCCAGACCAGGTGTCTGTGCCTGTGCCGGGGCGGGGAGGGCTGGCACTCGGGAACTTGCGGCTGGTTCCTTAACTCGCTGCACACTGGGATTACCTAGGGCAGCTAAAAGGCCCCTGCCTGCGTCACCCTCCCAGAGAATCTTGTTTCACTGGCCTGGGGTTGCTGCCTGGACTTTTAAAAGCTCCCGCAATGATTCCAACATGCGCCCAAGTCTGAGAACCACTGACTGAACACGCTTATTATGTGTTCGCACATTTTTCAAAGCACTCAAGATGTTAAGAACACCTTATAGCCTTTCACTGTCAAGGCAGCCCTTGGAGGCCTTGTCCCATTTTACTGGGAGTCAGGTGTCAATCCCGGTGAGGCTGAGTGGTTCTCCACCACTGAGCCAGACTGGCTAGGGCGGAACTCAGGTTCTCTAACCTCAGAGTCCGCTCTCTCCAACCATCTGTGAACTCTTCTAAGGGTGTAGACAATGCATGAAAGCAATCTGTACTGCCAGCAGGTCACAAACAAATCCCATACATATGGGAAGAGTGCTCACGTGTGAGGTCTAAGCCAATGCAGAGAGAGAGAGATCCTGGCGAGGGAGCTTATCCTAGACCCAAAACGCATCCTAAGGTACCACGTGTAAGACACAGCTTAATAGTATGGAAAGTAGTTTTGAATTTGAGAATGGAAAAGTGTTAGGCAAGGGGGGAGCTCTTCATTGGGAAGAGAACACTTAAGGGAGGTGAAAAGGTTTGCCTCTCAGGGCCAGTTTCTTCATCCAGCCCTAAGCATTCTGACCTGCTGAGGGGGCACAAAAACCAATCCTAACACATCCCCAAACAGGCAGCTTCAGTCCATCAAGCGTCTCTTCCTGCAGAGCAATGATCCGAGCTTCCTTGGTGACAGGACATATAATAAGTACCTTCACACCTATTTTGTATCCCAACTACAAAATAGGGGCAAAGCATCCCCTTCAACCCATTTTCCAACCACGCCTACCTCCCCTCAAGAAAAAGCAACACTGCCTGGCTGGTGCTGCTCAGTGGTTGAACGTCAACCCATGAACCAAGAGGTGCCGGGTTGGATTCCCAGTCAGGGCACATGCCCGGGTTACAGGCTCAATCCCCAGTAGGGGGCATGCAGGAGGCAGCCAATCAATGTTTCTCTCTCTCCCTCTCCCTTCCTCTCTCTCTAAAACATATTTAAAAAAAAAAAAAGGCACCATCATCATCATCACCAAACCAACCCTCCCAACAGAGTGGGAGAAATGGTGCCGCGTTGATTTAGGAATTCACATGGACCATCACAGAGGTAAAGCCACTCAAGCACCATGTCTGTAACACCGGAAGGAACCAGCCCACAGGCCACATGGAGACCCCCAAACGGCTGATGAGCAGATGGGGGACCACACTCCTGCAAGGCCTGGGACAGACACTTTAAGGGCAGCAAATGCTGCTTCTTAAAGACAATAAACACGATTCCACCATTCCTCCTGGGTCAGAAACAGGCCTCTTGGTACTCCATTCCAACCTGTGTCATACACCGGCTGCCTCCTGGTGTCTCAAAAGCCAAGTGTTGATGGGAAAGAACCACAAGGAAATTACAGGAACCAACAGCACGTTAAACTTGCCCATCCATCGATCGATCCCACTGATTGCAGCCCCACTTACCCAGCACAGCCAGACAGCTCAGCACTGGGATAAAGCACTTCATGTCGGCAGCGGAGAGAAGACACAACACAGGACGCTTCCTCCTCTCCCAGGGCTTAATCTCTCATTTCTGGCAATCCACCACTTGCAGCTCCAGGGGACAGTTTTGGAAACAGAACTTAACTCAGAAAATGAGGGTAGGTTAAAGAGAGCGGATCAGCAGGAGTCAGCTGGGGAGGGCAGCCGGCGGCACATGTTAAACTCCCCTAGGCAAAGGAAGGGTCCAGAACAATCCGGCAGGCCCTGAGGCTTCTGCCACATCGTGTGCCTTGCGGTTTCCACTGGAATCGTAGATTGCACTGGATTAATTCTCAAGGAAAGGGGGAAAGAGTCTGAGAAAATCCTTTCATCCGCTGATTATACAGAAATGTCCTTGGCTTCCCGGTGAAGGTGTCTGCACGCTCCCTCATTCGGATTCCACGAAGGGAATAGGGCAGGTTTTGTCAAAAACCTCTGACAGCCAAACGGCCCTGGCTGGCATCGACTGCTTGGGTTTCTTCATCAAAAAGTCCGTCTCCATCCATGACGGCAGGTCAAGGAGCCGCCACCTGCCCCAGACCTGCCCGCAGCACACGAAGCAAGTTGGCGTTTGGGCGCCCGGGGCGGTCCCACGATGCCAGCAGCTTTCTAAAACAAACACAACAAAGATTTATCCAAGGCCGGCGACTGCCGCGAAACCCAGAGGCGCCGGGCCGAACACCGGCGGCCGCTGCCGGGCCGGACCGGACCGGACCGGGACCGGCACCCTTCACATGCTGACCTTGGGCAAGTCGCTGCGTTTGCCCCCGCCTCAGTTTACCCGCCCGGAGCAGGGCAACGGTGGGCAGCCCCACTGTTCCTGCCACACTTTCGCCAAAAGCTTCACTCCTGGGAATTCCCTTCGCCTCCCTCGGGGCGCGGCGCGCGCA